GTGTAGATCTAGCAGCCAACCCGTTAATATTAAGTTTCTTAATATATATGGATACTACCTGGATAAATTCTGATGCAATCTTTCCTCATCAAATTTGGACCAGGTAATTATTTCATTTTTATTAATTCCTCACAATTTATATAAAAGTTTATAATATTTTTAACATTTAATACATTGTTTGGTGTTAGGTATAAGATTCAAGGTCCTCGCAGTAATAATCATCTTGAAGGATATCACCATTCCCTCAAGCGAATGGCAAAAAATGCTCATCCGGACATATATTCATTAATTCGCGTTTTAAAAGATAACCAACGCCTGACAGAACTTAAAGTTATACAAATCAATAACGGGGAAATAGTTACGGAGAAAAATAAAAAATATGTGATAATTAATAAAAAAATTGTAAACTTAACAGCATTATATGATATTACTTCTAATTTATTTTTTTTTATTGATAAAGTGTCTGATTTAATAAAATCATATTAAATATATATTATTAAATTTAAAATAGTTGTAGATATATTGTTAATAAAAAATTTAATATAAAATTGATAAAAAAGACCAATATACTTGGTGTTTGAAATGATACTTTATTTTTTTTTTGTTTACATGACAAGATTTTCACTGGATGTAGATATCTATCATAAATCTATATACAGCGTCTACATGAGCGGGAGAGGTAGGAACAGTTTGCATCCTATTTTTTGAAGGGGTGGGTGGTAGGCTGCCTTAATGGGGGTAGGATAAAAATATTTTGGGGTTATCTATTAAATCTTGAGATGAAATAAGACAAAATTTATTGCTGTAAAAATTAATACTTTTATTATGGAATTATTATAATACAATTCATCGACCAAATCTATATATTGCAAACAATCATACACATTGTTTTCCAAATAAACTATCCTTTTAAATGTAATTTAAGGTTTAGATATTTCAGCAAGCTCATAATGCCATAATAATTAATTCATTGTAAATAATGGGAGTTTTAATTGAATTTATTATCTAAAAAATAAATTCTTTATATTCACAAAATATCGATAGATGGTAGTAGAGATAGATTAATTTAAGTTATCCTTTATAAATTCTTTGAAAAGAGTATCAATAAATTAAATAGGTAAAAATAATAATAAAAAGAACGCATACTTAATAATATTATATATATATATTAAAATTTAAATATCCCCCTTAAAATATATATTTGTTATTAAGTATTGAATATAACTATTGATAAAATCTTTTATTGCCATATAAAATATTTTTGTAAAACGCCTTGTTAATAATATAATTTATAATTATATACTAAAATTTATTAAAATTTCTCCCTTAAGATATATATTTGTATTAAGTATTTTATCTATTGATAAAATTTTTTAATGCTTTTTAAAATAATTAAAAATTTATAAAACGCATACTTAATAATATTATATATATATATTAAAATTTATTATAATATCCCCCTTAAAATATATATTTGTTATTAAGTATTGAATATAACTATTGATAAAATCTTTTATTGCCATTTAAAATATTTTTGTAAAACGCCTTGTTAATAATATAATTTGTAATTATACACTAAAATTTATTATAATTTCTCCCTTAAGATATATATTTGTATTAAGTATTTTAACTATTGATAAAATTTTTTAATGCTATTTAAAACAATTATTAAATTTGTAAAACACATGTTTAATAATATTATTATGAATTATATATATTAAAATATATTATATTCTCACCCTTAGATTTATATTTGTATTAAGTATTTTATATAACTATTTGTTGTCTTTAATTTTTATTTTTTTAGTGGTATTTTAATTTTTAGCGATTATTACTTTAGCGATTTAGAACGGGAACCTTGGTATTAATTAAAATGAAGAATTGGTTCTAAGACAAATTATCAACGATGTAATCATCATGGTGTTAATGGCGTCTCCAGCTGATTCCAATTGATACATGCTTTTTATGAATGAATTGTCAGTTTAGGTATTATTATATGTCATTGGGTTTAATACATTAATGTTTTTTATTTATTCTTTTGTTTTTTTTAGATAACAAGCCCTGTCTTACCCTCATTTAATGATTGTACAGGTGGTATATTGACTCCTCATCAGGTTCAATGCATTTATTTTTTTTATTTATTCTTTTGTTTTTATTTTAGATAACAAGCCATGTCCTAACCTCAGTTAATGATTGTACAGGTAGTGATTTATCCGTCATTAATAAAAGAAAAAGATGGCAGGTCAATCAAAAAAAGAAACGCACTAGGGATCGTGAGACCCTACAAAATCTACTAAGAACGCAAAATAAAGTTAGCCTTATATATATTTTTTTTAATACTCTTTTATATTATAGAATACATCTATTTTAGCTTCTGATAATGTTCCCACTATTTCTAGGGAGTTGAACCTAATATTGACTCCTCTTCAGGTTCATTGCATTTATATTTTTTTTATTATTCTTAGTTTTTATTTTAGATAACAAGCCCTGTCTTCCTCACTTAATGATTGTACAGGTAGTATATTGACTCCTCATTTATTTTTTTAAATTATTCTTTTGTTTTTATTTTAGATAACAAGCCCTGTCTTAACCTCACTTAATGATTGTACAGGTGGTGATTTATCCATCATTAGTAAAAGAAAAAGTGGCAGGTTAACCAAAAAAAGAAACTCTATAGGGATCGTGAGACCCTACAAAATCTACTAAGAACGCAAAATAAAGTTAGCCTTATATATATATTTTTTAATACTTTTTTATATTATAGAATACATCTATTTTTGTTTCTGATAATGTTTCCACTATTTCTAGGAAGTTGAACCTAATATTGCCTCCTCTTCAGGTTCATTGCATTTGTATTTTTTATATTATTCTTTTGTTTTTATTTTAGATAACAAGCCCTGTCTTAACCTCACTTAATGATTGTACAGATGGTGACTTATCCATCATTAGTAAATGAAAAAGATGGCAGGTCAATCAAAAAATGAAACGCACTAGGGATCGTGAGAACCTACAAAATTTACTAAGAACACAAAATAAAGTTAGCCTTATATATATATATATATAAATGCATAAATGTTCTTATATTTTAGAATACATCTATTTTAGCTTCTGATGATAATCCCACTATTTCTAGGGAGTTAAACCTTATATTGACTCCTCTTCAGGTTCTATATTTTTTAAATTATTCTTTTGTTTTTATTTTAGATAGCAAACCCTGTCCTAACCTCATTTAATTATTGTACAGATGGTGATTTATCCGTCATTAATGAAAGAAAAAGATGGCAGGTCAATCAACAAAAGAATAGCTATAGGGATTGTGAATCCCAGCAAAATATACTAACAACACCAATGATATATATAACATAGATTGGCGATTCATTCATTAAAAACGTCCTCACGTTGCAATCAGCTGTAGCGCCATTTTGTAGCTTGAACGTTGATCAAATGCCTCATCATTATTATTATATTTTTAAATTCTCTATATCAAAACAAAATAAATTCTCACCTCAACTGGCAAGTTCTTCAATTCATTTTATTAGCAATCTAAAATATAAGACTCAAGATATACATATTTAAAAAGCCACAATACCACCCTTCATGCAAAATATTACATACCTCTATCTATTATACCCTCAAAAAATCCACCAAATAATCTTCAATTAACCTTACCACCCAGATTCCTTTAACCCATATGGATCAAATGCCTCGATCATTATTTTTAAATTATCTATATCAATACAAAATAAATTCTCACCTCAAACTGATGATTTTAGCAAGTTCTTCAATTCATTTTATTAGTAATCTAAAATATAAGACTCAAGATATACATATATAAAAAGCCACAATACCACCCCTCATTTCCAAGAATACTAGCTTTTATAGTTTTATCAAATTCACTTGATATTTCAATAAAAATCTTGTTACACACATGTTGTTCATTTATAGAATCTTTTAATTAAAAATAATAAATATATTATTTTTATATTTTACATATATAATCTTTTATGATTCCTGTATTAATAATAAATATAGATGCACCTATATTTATTGTAGTAGCTGGTACTTTTAATTTTATGTAATATAGTGGCTTATAACTTAAAACAATAATCACTCATAAGTTTATGTAAAAAATAGACCTGTATAGATAAAATTAAATAAATACAAATTTTGTTACTAATAAGAGAAATAGGTGCTGTTAATTTTTTTATTTTGTATTATTAATTTTATTATAAAGGAAGAACTAAAGATAACTCCAAAAGTATATACTATTAAGATTCTCTTCATAGTTGATCTTTTGTTTTGATTATTTCATCTTAATTTGACAAATAAAAAAATATCTTTTATTTTTTTTCAATAAATACATAATGTAATAATATCATTTTTTGCTTGAGTATAAATTATATTATATAAATCATTTATTTAAAGTATATTTAATAAGTAAATAATTATATAAATGTATAGGCCTTGAAAAGGAAAAGATATTGCAACAATTCACTTTCATATTATTTTTGAGTACATTTTCGTCATTTTTGATTATATCATCACCTATAAAAAATTAATATAATTAATTAGCATAGATAATATATAAGATCATAATTTTTATAATATGCCTAATATCTGGTCATTCCTTATACAATATAATTTTTAAAATATAATAGAAGATATATATATTATTATATATGACTTATTCATTATTAAATTGTATTGCTTTCGTAAGATTCTGTCGCATACCAGTTCTCAATTCCTGGTTTCTTAAGTCAGCAAAATGATAAAATCTAATATTTAAATATCTTTAAAAAAAATAGTATAAAATCTAATAATTGGTTATTTTTGAACAATTAATTTTACAAGAATTTGAAAATGGCTGTACTTAATTTCATGTTCAATGATATGATCACAAAGATCAATAAAGAGATTTGTGCCTATTAAAAAAATATTAAATTCATTTCTTTTAAATATTTGTACCTATTATTTTGGAAAAAATTAATACTTCCATTTTTTCAAAAATATTTTTATGTGTGATTTCGTTTTGATAAGTTCTAAATGAACTTTCACATATTCTGCATAGTTTGGACATACTAGTAGAAGGTATCACCAACCCCCCCCCCACCCTCATTATTTTTAATATTTATTAGCATATTATTGATATTATTATCATTATAAGAATCACTAACCATTGCATATAAAGATAATTTCGGGATATGTGGGTTTGTGTTTCTAAAATAATAAGATGAAGTGGTGGGTATGGGTACTAGATTGGCTATAGGTTTGATAATGTTAACATCTATTTTTGATATAATTATATATTAATATAATAAATATAAAAATAATAAACTTGTGATAAGATATATAGAAATTGTTTACTATTTTATTTGTTTTATTACTCTGAACACGGCACACTCCCATTATCTAAATAAAATAATAAATGATGATGATATTAAAAGACATGTTTTGTATGTATCCTAAAATGCATTAACATATGATTTATAAGTCCATACTGAATTATGTTAAACTATATTTTAAAAAATTAAAAGGAGGGTTAGTCTTAGAATCATTTTTTTAAGGTATAATCAGCTAATTTACATTCATAAAAATTCACTAGACTAAGAAATAATTAAAACAAATTATAATCTTACCATAATATTTAAGAATATAAGAAAAATAATATATCATAAATGGAAACTTTTAAAGTAAATTATCTTCGTAGACTACTTTTACGTGATACGTGATATATAGCGCTTATGCCCTCTAGTGTTGAAATGCAACAGAGCTACGCTAGGTTTTCCTCATTTCCATTTTATTGGAACAATTAAATTTGGGTATAAAAGTTAAAATATGAGGAGCCCTCCACACGTTTGTGGGCAAGCCGCACGTACTTGTAGGCGCAACATTTCGAAAAATATTACTTAAACCTCTATAGGCTTATATAAAAGGGAATGGGACAAAAAAAGAGCCTATACCCAATAACTACAGTGAAAGTTAATTACGTTGTGGTGGGTTGAGGACAATTTACCATTAAAAATATTTACTATATTAAAACAATTTTTAGTAAGGAAATATAAAATATACTTATGAGAGGATTTGAATGTATGATGGTATTGGAAATGTTTGATAATGATGAGTTTAAATTTTTTTGAAATTTATTACGATGGTAAATATACTATAGGATTAATGGGTGATGATAATGTAACATACATTATGAGAATGTATTTTTGTATTTATTGAAGGTAACTTTTCTTGATGCGAAACAGTTTTTTAATGGATCTTTTATTGTTGTTCAGTTTAATGAATTGTTTCATGTTAACGTTTAGATCCATTATATCTTTTATAGTTTTATAGTACCATAATGTTTTGTATTTTGTGTACTGTTTACCTTTATATGAGTACAGCCATGTTATGGCATCATGGACTAAATTATTATCAGAGTTTCTTATTACATGGCCTAATAACTGAATCCGTCTTTTCTTAAGAGTAATATTCACTGGTGTGTGAGTAGACTTCCTCCAAAGATTCAAGTTAGAGATTACTCTTGGATAGAAAATCCCGTGTATCGTACGAAGACAATTATTTATAAAAAATTGAAGCCGTCTAATCTCTGTTTTGTTTGCCTCCCAGATATCTCCACCATATAATGTAATTGGAACAATCAACGAGTTGAATATTCTCAATCTAGTAAACACTGAAATTTCGCTAGCTTTCCATATTTTCATATATCTGTAGAAAGCACCTCTAGCTTTCAGTATTCTCATCTCCATCTCATCTTTACAACTTCCTTTGTTATCCAAGATTACCCCTAAGTATTTTATATTCTCTACTATTTTCACTGTATTCCCTCCAACTGTAAAATCTTGAATTGAAGGCGCATTTGGGGAGGGAAGAATAACCGTTTTGTTAAAGTTGATCCTAAGTCCAACTCTATAGCTTACTGTCTCAATTAGATAAAGTAGATTTTTGGTCTCTTCAATGCTTTTCGAAATCACTACAATATCATCTGCATAGGATATTATCCTATTAACAAAAAAAATTTTCTCAACAGATCCTATGTCTACTAGATCTGCAGCTCCCAATACTTCTTTTATTATTTTATTGATGATTATGTTAAACAGGAGAGGTGAGAGGGTACAGCCTTGTTTTACCCCTTTTTAATCCTGAAAAAGGGAGAGATTTTATTATTTATTTTGAAACAAGCGAATAAATTCGAATAGTGATTTTTTAAGATACGAATTATCTGGGTTTCAATACCATATTCTACAAGCGTTTCCCACAACGCTTCATGATTAACATTATCGAATGCTCTACTGAAATCAATAAATGTGTAAAATGACGGAATCTTATATTTATAACACTTTTGCATTATTATCTTCAGAGATAATATGGGTTCTAGTATATTTTTATTTGGCCTGTAAGCACAAATATATTTAGAAAAAAGATTAGGCGTCGAATGAACAATCTTATTCTTTAAAAGTACCATAAATATCTTTGACACACAAGATGTTAAAGCACACGCCCGATAATAAGTGAATTTCAGAGGGTTAGCAGTTTTGGGAAAATTGCATATAAGGGACTTGTTCCATTCAGTCGGGGTACTTCCGTTTTCCCATATTTTATTGAATAGGGCTAGTAGGAAAGAAGATGTCGTTCTAGGTGCAATCTTCAGATGTTCCGCCGTAATGTTGTCAAGCCCCGGAGCTTTATTATTTCGTAATTTCTTTATTACATTCATAATTTCCATTACAGTGAACCCAGACTGGGGTGAAGCCATATTTATATTTACACTTGTTGCTCTAGTTACTTTACGTCCATCGAAAACCGTAATATAGTAATCGAGCCACAGCGCCATCTGTTCATCTTGATCAATTATTATTTTACCATCATTTAATACTATTGAGGGTACCCTCTGAAAACTGTTAGGTTTACAAAAATATTTTAATTTCTTATATGCATCATGTAGTCTATTTTCTCTTACATCTTTGTCAATATCAAACGCTTTCTTCGCACTATAAACCCGTCTATCTCTCCGCAAATCTTTGTATCATCTTCCAAAGATCCTTATTAGAGCTAAACGCTGTTCTTAACTGGTTTACTTTCTCCAGGGTATCATTCGCCATCCACTCCTTCCTATGGATAAGACTTACATCTGGCAATACTTTGTATGTATCGACTAGGGCATCTTTAAAAAGATTCCAGCTTTTCTCAACACTTGCAAGCCTAATAGTGTTCAAATAGCTGGCTTCTTTCCCACTTAATATCTCATCAAAATATCTTGCATCATCTAATGTTCTTATTTTACTTAGTTTGCGAGTTATTACATTACACAAGGGAGTAGCGCTAGATCTAGTAGAAGATTGTCTATTTCCGTTATGATACCCCATAAATTTTTAACTATAATAATTGCTCTGAGCAGTCTATGATGTGACAAGTTCATATTAGTTAGGGCTTTAACATCCACGAACCAACGATGAATATTCGAGATGAAGAAGTCAATTTGTGATTGCTGCTGAGCTCTTACAAAGGTATACGTATTCCTATCATGACTAAAAAAAGTGTTTTCAATTTTGAAATCTTTATTACAACAGAAGTCAAGTAATTTCTTACTGTATTCGCTATTACTCTGTACTAAGGTAGCGTGCCCAGTGACATTTCTATTCATATATTCCGCTTCTCTGCCTATATCCATATTTAGATCTCCCAATATTATGATGTTATATCTCTGGTAAGGAGTGTATTATGTTAATCATTATATCTACAAAGGCTAATCGCTCATTCCTTTTAGGTGGGACATAGAAATTTACGATTATTGTAGGCTTGAAGTTCGTATGTAGGTATAGGAGCCCACACCTTTCCGAGATGGGTACAAATTTCATGACATATTTCTGCATTCTTTTATTAATGAGGAAAGCAATCCCTGACCAGCTATTGGAGGTAGTACCCGAGCAAAACATCTTATATTCATTGAAATTAGCGGTAATATTTCCAGGGTAGTGGGTTTCCTGGATGCCCAAAATGTCAATTTTCTCCGCCACTAACATCCTTAAAAGAACTGCCAGTTTATTCATCAATCCATTAATGTTAAGAGATGCTATTAGGATCTTGCCTGCAAATTTGTTCTCCATATCTCTGTGCCCGTTTGGAAATCGAGTTGACATAGACATTTAAATAGAAGAATATTTAAAATGTGAAGGGAAATAAAATTCAACTTAGCATATAACAAATAAAAATAAAAACCTAGACTAGTTTTGGTAATATTATATATGTATTAATATTTCATGCTGACAAATAATGGATATCCAAACTACAAAATGGCGTTACAGCTGATTGCAATGTGACGACATTTTTATCATGCATTTAATGAATGAATCGCCAATCTATGTTATATATATCATTGAACAACACATAATAAAAGTATATATATACTAAAAAAGCATAAATGTTCTTATATTTTTTTATTTTTTAGAATACATCCATTTTAGCTTCTGATGATATTCCCACTATTTTTAGAGAGTTGAACCTTATATTGACTCCTCTTCAGGTTCAATGCATTTATATTTTTTAAATTATTCTTTTGTTTTTATTTTAGATAACAAACCCTGTCTTAACCTCATTTAATGATTGTACAGATGGTGATTTATCCGTCATTAATGAAAGAAAAAGATGGCAGGTCAATCAACAAAAGAATAGTTATAGGGATTGTGAATCCCAGCAAAATATACTAACAACACATAATAAAGTAAGTGTATATATATATACTAAAAAAGCATAAATGTTCTTATATTTTTTTATTTTTTAGAATACATCCATTTTAGCTTCTGATGATATTCCCACTATTTCTAGGTAGTTGATCCTAATCTTGACTCCTCTGCAAGTTTAACGCATTCATTTTTTAAAATTTTTTTATTTGTTTTTGTTTTAGATAACAAACCCTGCTTTATTTCCTCCTTATAATTGTTTAAATATTGATATATCTACCATTAATAATCAACAAATACAAAATAAATGTTCAGAAAAACATGATAGTCTTGATAAGTCCCCAACTAGACAAATTTTATTTTTTTATGATAGCCTCCCAACTACTAGAGATATGCATATATTGACCCCTTTACAGGTTCAGTACAGTATTTTAATGTTCGTTTTATTTCAATAATAATGTTTTATATTTTTGCCTGATTTCCTTATTTTTTAGGCTAACCCAACCTTGATCCCTCACATTGCTACGAAACATGATACTTCTATTAAAGATAAGCAAAGGAAAAAATGGCGACTCAACAAACGCCTTACCCGTTCTAGAAATACAGGTATGCAGGATAATAAGGACTTACGCCTGATATTAACTCCCCTGCAGGTTTTTAATGTTTTATATATATATGTTTATTTTATATTCACCCAGATACCTTCAACTGATATTTCTATAACCACTACCACATTCCCTATGGCACCTCTACCATGCATATTTCGACATATATTTGATGACCACCACTCACCTATATTATATATCGGAAACATGACAGAAATATGTGCCTTCTGCAATGCTAAAATGTGGAATGGAGAAAAATTATCAAAAAGCTCATGTAGAAATACTCAGTTTTCTACATGTTGCTTGAATGGGAAGGTAATTTTATAAAACTTCCCAATTACCACCAAATTTATTACGTTTATTTACCGGGGATCATTGTTCATCATCCCAACTTTTAACAAACATAAGAGCTTATAATTCCGCACTGTCATTCACTTCATTAGGAGTTAATATAAATAATAATTTATCCAATTCGCGATCAGGTAATTATACCTTTCAAATTAATGGACAGGTTCATCATCGCATTGGTTCACTCCTACCAACATTAGGGGAAACACCTAAATTTGCCCAATTATATATACATGATAGTATAAATGAGATAGAACAGACATAACCAGGTTCCGTTTTTAGATCGTTGTCTTTTAATGGAATTGCAGGATATTGTTCACACCTACAACCCCTTTGCTTCTCAATTTTTGAGAGTATCTTCTATGATCGCTAATGGCGTTCCTAACATATCCTTAAACTTAAAATCTACTCCAAGTTTTGACATACGTTATCGCAATAAACCTACCTCATCTGAAATAGCAGTATTATTACCTGGTGATGGCAGTGATCATATAGCCCATAGGAATATTACCTTAAAAACTATATCTGGTCCTTTAAGACGTATTAACGAGCTCCATTCCTCATACGATCCCTTGCAATATGTTCTTCTATTTCCTAGAGGCGATATTGGATACCACCCATCCATTCATTATAGAAACTCTAATAAATATGTTACCTGCAGAGAGTACTATGCCTATCGCTTTATGGTCAGGCAGGATGAAGAGAATGTTATTTTAAGATCCAAACGTCTTTTTCACAAATTTATCGTCGACAGTTATGCCAAACAGGAAACGCTTCGATTAAATTTTATACGTAATAATCAATCCAAATTACGCGCCGAACTCTATCAAGGAGTACATGATGCTATTTTAGAGGGAGATACTAACGTTGACAATCTTGGCAGAAGAATAATTTTGCCTTCTTCTTTTACCGGTGGCCCAAGGCATATGCATCAGCTTTAACAGGACGCAATGGCTATTGTATGCTGCTTTGGTAAGTCATCATTATTCATTACTTTCACCTGCAACCCTAAATAGGATGAAATAATGTGTGATTTATTTCCTCATCAGACCCCAAACGACCACCCAGATTTAGTTTGTCGCGTTTTTCGTCAAAAATTAAAATGTCTAAAAAAGGATTTGCTCTATTATCATGTTCTTGGCAGAGTAATCGCTTATATAGATGTCATAGAATTCCAGAAAAGAGGTTTGCCTCATTGTCATATGTGCCTTATACTAGATATATCTCATAGGCTACCAACGGCTGATACTTATGATGAGGTAGTTTGTGCTGAGATTCCTAACAAAATAACTGAGCCTAAGTTGTTACAAATTATTAGCAATTTTAATATACATGGGCCATGTGGTATAACATTTCCTAATAGTCCCTGCATGATTGATGGAAAATGCTCAAAAAAAATATCCTAAATCATTTGTGGATACCTCTTCTATTGATAAGTATGGTTATCCTTTATATCGGCGACGAAATGATGGAGTTACCTTCCAAAAAAAATTAAACGGATTTATATTTAACAACCGTTGGATTATTCCTTATAATAAACATTTATCAAAAAAATATAATGCACATATAAATGTAGAAATTTGTTCTTCTGTCCAGTCCATAAAATACCTTTATAAGTATTGTTACAAAGGCCATGACAGAACTACTGCATCTCTTTCCATTAATAATGTCGATGAAACTACCCAGTTCATTGATGCTCGATATATATCCACCATAGAATCGCTATGGCGTACTCTGGATTTTGAAATGCAGGATCATTCTCCTGCAGTCTATCGCTTAGAACTTCATCTACCTAATCAACATTTGATCCTTTTTCAATCAAATACTGATTTAAATAATATATTAACTAAAAATCCTGGTACAAAATTAACCGAATGGTTTAAAATTAATGATCTTGACACAGAGGCCAGACAATATATTTATGCAGATTTTGTAAGATATTATGTGTGGAAACCTGTATCTAAACAGTGGATAAAACGACAAAGGGGTGATGATAAGGTTATTGGCGGTATACGCACAGTTTCTCCTAAAGAGGGTGAGGTTTTTTATTTAAGACTATTACTTAATTATGTAGCTGGGCCAACATGCTTTGAAGATCTACGCTATTTTAATGGAATTGTCAGTAATACTTTTAAAGATGCATGTATTCGACGTGGTCTATTATCAGATGATGCGGAATGGAACCATTGTTTAGAGGAAGGTCTTTCATTTAAGATGCCATATCAATTGCGCCAGTTATTTTCTGTTATTTTATTACATTGTGAGCCGAGAGATCCTCTAGGTCTATGGAATACTTTTAAATTTTATCTTTGTGAAGATTTTTCCAAGGAAATATCATCAGAGCCGGATAACCTTATCAACGAGAATCTCGCGCTATGCCACATCAATCAAATTTTGATTCAAAATGGTAAATCTCTTTAGGATTTTTTGGGAATGCCTATCCCTTTATTATCCACTCAATTTCCATCTGCTAGAGCTAATATCAGGTGTCACATTATTCAGGAGGAAATTTCCTACGATACTGATGATATGTATAAAAAATATTTGGCTAACTACAATTTATTTAATCGGGATCAAAATATTATCTATACCAAAATCATGTCCTTACCCTCCACTCCATCCCATAATTTATTTTTTATAGATGGTCCTGGTGGTACTGGAAAATCATTTCTATTAAATACAATATTATTTAACTTGAAATCTCAAGGTAAAATTGCAATAGCTGTTGCATCTTCTGGCATTGCTTCAACTCTTCTTCATAATAGCCGTACTGTATATTCACGTTTCAACATCCCCTTAAGTATTCATGAAAGTTCCTCATGTAATATTCCTTACTAAAGCCAAATAGCTGAATTGATAAGACAATCGGTAATTATAATATTGGACGAAATATCAATGACTCATAAACATATATTCGAGGCCGTGGATAGGTCATTTCAGGATATAATGAAATTAGATAAACCGTTTGGTGGTAAAATTATTATTTTTGGCGGAGATTTTAGACAGATTTTACCTGTTATTAAACGTGGTGGAAGATG